TCATTGTTGTTTGGCGGGTCCAGGCTGGGGATTCGAACCCGCCACGTTAGGTGTACGTGGCTGGCACCTTAGCCGGTTGAGCTATGGGCGCCGAGCCTACATAGACTCTTATACATCAGACATAATTTAGAAAACAATTTAAATGGTGGATTTACAGTGAGAAAAAAATTGTGGAAACATTGATAAAGCATAATGCTTCTTTTCTCTTTCTTTTTTTCCTCTTTTTATATTTAAGCAACTAGAAGCCATTTGTGTCAAGGTGACATCTGGAGAGCCTAAATGTCAGGAAAGGCCAATGCCCCCGTTGGCTACCATCCAGCCCAAAACACCAAGACAGAGCCAGCCCCCCAGCAGAGGTTCCAGCCATGTGGGGCTTTGTGTCACAAACCCTCAGCTGCTCAAGATACAGCCCCTCATGAGAACCAGGCCCCTGCCATGCTTTTTGAGTGACTTGCCTCAGCCTCCTGCTCAGGTGTTCATACAGATGCCACTGCCTGCCCCCCAACAAGTCCCTGCAAAGATACTTACAATCCCTAAGCCTTCAAATGGACAGGGCTCCACATCGACCCCTTTGTCAGCCTCTGACCCACCAGTGGTAACACCTGTTTCATCCAGTTCAGCTCATTTATTTATTTCCCACTTGCATACAAAACATACTGAGAAATTAAAAAAATCTTTAAAAGTAAAAACACGTTCTGGACGGATATCTCGGCCTCCGAAATATAAAGCTAAAGATTATAAATTCATAAAAACAGAGGATTTGGCAGATGGTCATCTGTCAGATTCTGACGATTATTCAGAACTAAGTGTGGAAGAAGATGAGGACCAGAGGGACAAGCAGGTGCTCTTTGACTTATCAAGCTGCTCTCTGAGGCCCAAAACGTTTAAGTGTCATACTTGTGAAAAATCCTACATAGGAAAAGGGGGACTTGCCCGGCATTTTAAACTTAATCCAGGGCATGGCCAGCTGGAACCTGAGAAGCTGCTGTCTGAGAAAGCTGATGGGAGTGTGATCCGAGGGTGCCTGGAGGAAGGGACTTTCCTGGAGCTGTCCACACCAACTGCTCTACAAGGAGAAGGCACCCTCTCCTGCTATGCCACAGAGACAGAATCAGCACGGGGTAACCTGCAGGTAACATGTCTGCCTCCGTTTGGTATCCTTGTTTCTGCCCCTGCTGCCCATCATCCTTAATTTAACCATTACAGTGTCTCTTGGGGGCAAAGGCAGGACTAGAGTCACGGTAGTTGGGGACCCTGGATCCCCATGGTGTTTGCACAGCTGCCAAATAAGTCAGGAGATGTGTATCTTTGTTCACATGATTTGAGGGGAATGTAGCCATTAAATCATGTCAACAAAGTATCATGGCTGACACTGACATTACAGAGTGTTAAAGGCCATGGCAGTCCACAGCAATGCTTCCTGAACTTTCTTTTTTTTTTT